AAAGTAGCTTTTGACAGTTGACATGTACACATGCAAATTGATTTGCCAAAACGCAAATATTAAGACTTACCCAAGAATAGTTTAATATTTATCAGATAACTGCTATTTAACTAACCCTTCTTTTTATTCACCATAAACTACACAGCTTGTTAATCTAAAATGTAACTCACCTCAATGGCAACTATCAAACCCGACAGTAAATTGTGACTCGATTTCAGCTCATCAATGACAAAACTTGTCAAAAGCATCCAGCTACTCACCACCAAATATGCCCAGCTCACACGTAGGAACTGTTAAGTTTTTAGTGCCCATACAGAAAATGTGCGACAGAATACGCTACCTATTACGTTTCGCACATTTTGGGAAATTAGAATTTTATTATTAGCGTCCCACTGGGTTTATTAATATTCTCAGCAGTACAACACTGCCTCAGATACGTTTTCGTTACCCAAACTGATGACCTATTTATGACAGACTTTTTAATGGCGTTGCCTTCACAGGAAGTGGAATATATGGTCTTACGCATGCTACCACAACGCCCACTATGAAATTCATAATTTATGCTGAACACGTTCTCTGTTTTTTTTTTTTAAACAGTCAAGGTTTTTGTTTTCATTGTTTATACGAAGAATGAATGAAGTCATTGGTAAAATAAGAACTTTTTTTTACATGTTGTTATATTTATAAAAACGAAGGATATTTGTCTCAAATTTAGCACCTTTTGTTTCACTTATTTGTTATTCAGGGTAGAAGTGGAAAACTTCGTAGTTTTAGTGATAACATCCAACCATTGAAACAAAATAGAAAAGAATAATATATATATATATAATAGCCAAATGTATGTCTGCCTGTCACGCTCTTTATCTCCTGAAGGATTAACTGTAAAAAAAATTATACATCAAAATGCTTATTTTTAAGTGTAAGTTATAGGAAACTTTTCCAGTTTTTTTTTTTTTTGCAATTCCTAAAATTTAATATCGATATCATCATTGATCCGTCATATGAGCTGAATGGTCAATCTAAGAGAAAACTTATTAGGAACAAAAATGTTTCTTTTTTTCGAGGGAATTTCACACAAATCCTCAGTCAGATTATTGAAAGAAATATTTCGAAGATAGGTTCATGAATAGAAAAAACGCATATAGAGAAGAACGTGTTTGAGTATTTATTTACTATGAAATTCATAATATATTATATATAATATATATTCATAATATATTGTTTTCATGTCGGTATTATATACTTGTATGATTTCATTGTACAACGTACAATAAATTGAATTCAATTGTATTGACTATTACCTTTTGACACTACGTATAGAAATAACAACTGTCAAAAAGTGCTTACTTCCTTAGCGGTCTTTCCTCGCGCTCAGTAAAATGACAAGAAACTGGCATTCAGCGCAAAAAATCCCCGCGGCTACTTAGCGAAGCTGAATGCTTTATTGTACTGGATACACCCATTGTATCGAAAACCAAAAATATTTGCTAATAATGCATTGCAGTCAGTTTCCCTTGCTTAGAAAAGAAACACAATGCAATTTTCGTTATTGATATAACACATGAAATTATAAAATACTGTTGTAAACGACTCACTAGACAATCATATTGTATGAACACTATGATTCAAAAGATTGGGTTGACTGCACGCTTGATATTTATTCATCACTATTTTTCGGCAAATCACAGTTGAATTGTTTTACGGACATCTGCTAGTATATTATAATTACATTTCTCATATAATTGTATTTTGAGCATGTTTTTGCCATTGGCCTTTTACTTTCGTACTTTTATTAGTATTATATACAGAAATGTAGGAAAAATAACAAACGTTTGTTTAAAGTTTAGTACTCATCATAACAGTTTAATTAAGTAAGTATAATGATATCACTATTCATTTATTTTTTAGAATAAAGTGAAAACGTCCATATATATATATATAGAGAGAGAGAGATAGAGAGAGAGAGCCAGGGGTCAGATGTTCGTGACACAAGATTACTTTAAAAATTGTGCCAACTGTAGTTTATGAACTGGAACTTGTTAATAACATCCCAATGGATACATTTCCACTTAGCGTTCAAAGCATGTTCTTAGGTTTTGGATGGTTCTTAATGTGAGGCAAAAATCTTCAATTTATGCAATGTTTATACCTTTAAATTCATTTGATTTGCCAGTTTTGTGAGCATTATATTTAAGACTTTTCTCTTAGCACGCAGAGTAGGTATGTGTGTTTATATATATATACATTATATATATGCAGTCACATATAACCATGCCATTGTACTTTCTACATAACGTTATTTATCCATGAATGTATGAAACATGTTTTAAAAGTTCTAATATTGGTGTTCTGTTCTTTGCAGCTTAACATCAATAGAAATAGAGAGACTATGCCTAGTTGGCAAAGAGGGCTATACAGCTTTCCAAACTCAGTGCAGTAGTATCCCAGTGGTAACGGTAAGTTTACGAACTTACAACGCTAAAACCGGGGTTCGATTTCTCGTAGTTGACAGACTGCAAATAGCTTAGTGTGTAGTTTTGCGGTATAATAAACAAACAAACAGTGCAGAAATATTTTTACAAATTGAGTCCTATGCGAACGAATAGCATGCTGTGAGGGAAAAAAATATTCAAGAACGTGATAAGGTTTCAATGTCGTAATGTTCAGATGACGTAGAACAGTTCAATCACAGGAAATGTTAGAAAGTTCTTTGTAAATTTAAAAACAATAAAATAATAGTCCAATCGAGACATTGTGTCTGAGGGGAGTTGATAATATATAATCGAGGTAGTCTCAACAGCTCTTTGATGAATACATGGGCTTATTTTGCCATTGTGTGAGCAGTAAATGCACGAGGAAAAATTTTTGAAAATTAAAACACACAGCAAAAGCGACTTATCAAGGAAGGGTAAGGTTATCGTTATTGAACTACAAAAGATGATGCTTTTACCCCAAATAGAAAATATCCCCTTGACTGTGATGGTGACTACTCCATGGAGCGAGCAATCTGTAACATAGAAATTGTGAGCATCGTGAAATCTCCAAAGGACACACCGTTTATTGATATGACCACCCTAATGAAGGCACAAAGCATGTCATTCTATGAGGACCGAAATTTCAAACCATACATTAAGGATATTTTATTGAACAAAATCCCTAATAATGATTTTGCAGATAGTGGTCCAAAACCAGAAATTTTGCTTTCGTCAAAAACCAAACAACGAGTTGGGTCAGAAATTTATGAAGCTTGAGATACTGAAAATGAAATGGTATGTTTGGGAAAAGGAGCTAATGGTTCAGGATAAGAGATTTGCATTATAAAGGACTGGTATTTTAACGGGTCCTTTGACAACTTCCAAATCCTTTAGAAGCTACAGCAGCTACTAAAATGGATAATTTGTAATGTAAAAAAGAAATAACAGATAAGAGTAATTAAATAAAAGTTCTCAAAATTTGACCCATCATGTGATATGTCGCTTTAAAATAGACTGCAAAGTTTACTATCAGCTAAAGTCTATCTCTGGATTCCAGAAACAAATGCTAACTCCCCTCAATGTAGAATCAGTTTTAATACAATACCATTTTGACAGATCCAAGAGTGACGTCTAGATGATGCGTTACCTGAACATAGACACATCGTAATCGGAAGTCCAACGAATGACCGTTAAAATGGCTTTGGCTATTTCTGAGAACGTTACAAACAGCACTGATGGCATATACCCTCCCCCACGCACGTTTTAGAAGAAACCAATCTTTACAGCTGACAACATCGGCCTTGAAAATGATGCTAGCTCCTTTCACGAAGTTTATTTGGTTGCTACTTGCTTAACAGTGAGGAGTGAAGGCACGAAGTTTTTTCTAAAGTGAGGAGTGAAGGCACGAAGTTTTTTTTTCTAAACAGAGTTTCTATTAAATGCTAATTAAAAAAAAAATCTCTAGTTCCGGTTCATAAACTAACATTATTATAACTTTATGGTATATTACATCTCTCTCTCTTCCACCCCCGATTTATGATTATAATCATGAGAAAGTTCAAGGCATTCCAAAAGAAAAAGAAACAATCTTCGGTTTGCAACGAAATATATTAACGTGTCGTACCGTTAATTCATCTTTACCTTCCTAAATATACAGTTTTGACCAAAAGATTTGCATACTGTTCTATATTGATGTTATTGTCTACATGCATAGAGTAGTTATTTAGTATACGCCCGAATAGTAACAGAGAAAGTAGCGAATGATCGGACACATTTGTACGAGTTGCTATTCTGGTCTGTATAAGCTGTTTTGAGTATTCGTTCGTCAAAACACACATACACATCTGTTTTGTATAAAAGGGTGTGGTTATGGTATACTCTTTTTTCGAAACAGATCAACGTTTTGTTCAGACAGTTTCTCTGTACTTGGTGTAGAGTCATGCTCTGTCATGTGCCAAAAGTTATAGGGCGTCAAATTGTTCGACTGTCCAGAAATGGTATGAAGCAAATGGACATTGCCAGAACAGTAATGTATCCCCCAGTGTACTGTATCCAGAATTCTGAAATGTCATCGGACTACAGTAGACGCCGAAAAACTTCTGCTCGAGATGACCGTGTTTTGATCAAGTTAGCACATCAGGGTCAAAAGAAGTCTTGCAACACCTTACGACAGGAATGGCCTGAACACATTCATTCCAGGGTAGCCAGAAGAACAGTGAATAGGATACCGACCAAACGAGGTTATTTTTCAAGAAGGGCTATCTGCAAACCGATATTAACCAGAATTCACCGCCAACACCGTGTTACTTGGAGAAATAATTCCAACTTACAATTAGAACACTAGCGACATGTCATCTTTTCAGATGAGTACTGATTCCGGCTTGTTAAAGCTGATGGTAAGGGGTGTTGCAACAAAATAAATCACACTTTTTCCTCGAGAGCATAACAAAGTAAAATAATATTTTAATTCAATCAAAAAAATAATTCAAAGTATCAATATCGCTTGATTAGGCCACCATTGTTCTCACGCACGAGTTTTAATCGATTTGCAAAAGATTTCAGCAATGCAACAAACATGTCTGTTTTTGTGGCTGTCTCTGTGAGCACATCACAAATCAAGGTTTCACGCTTGTGTCTCTCGCATTCAGGCAAAGTTTCCAACATTTCTTCTGTGCATCGTTGAACGAAAGCTCCGACATTTTCAGCGGGATTTAAATCTGGAGAGTTCTCAATCCACATTCCACCACTTTTCACGGACCCTTCTTTTAAATTCAACAATTTTGAAACTTTGAGGCATTAATCGGATTTTTCAAATCTGGCATTGCGATGTGTCGATTGGAAGACTTGAATTCTCGGAGCACATGCGACACGAACCTGAGTTCTAGTGAGCACCATGATTCAAAAGTTTTCGCAGAAAATGAAATTCGAAGAGTCAAACACCCAAGAGTACGTTGAATTGACGTTTTC